TCACTCACTCGCTGACTCGCTGACTCACTCACTCACTCCTAATTATGTTTTGCTAGTAGTCCATGTAAAACATGTTTCTTTGAGATGTTTTTTGGCATTTTTGCGCAAGTTACATCTCCGATATTTATCGATCATCGATCGATATTTAGTTAACGATCTATATTGAAAGCCAACCCTACTGGTCACCAGTTCCATACTTGTGGGTTGCACAGGAGTGGTATGCATCAAAGACTACTTAACCCTCAGGCAGAAGATGCTTACTTGCATGATATGATTGAAAACTCTTCAAAATGACCAACACACTATCATGTATATATGATAAACTAGTAAATAAGAGAATAGCTCTTCGATAGAATTTTCTCTGTTGTAAAAAAATAAATATCAGGCTGTTAGTTTAGATTTGCATTTTCATCACACACAAAAAGGAAATGAGAAATGCAGTTAAATAGTTGTTTGTAAATTCATGCACATTTTCAAACCATTGTTTTACATTTATATTCATAATTGTTCATGTGGTATAATTCACTTTCATTGCCTCGATGTGTCATTACAGACACTGTTTTCATAGACATTTATCATAAGCTCTGTCACATAAAATTGACATTATTATGCAATAACAACAGTTTGTCATGGTGTACAAGCTGGAGTGTTGGGTTCTGGGAATTCTTAAAATACTCCGCCATGTAGAGAAGCCCAGCTGTTAATCTGGAGTTAAGTGTTGACCCCAGACTGGCATTTTCATAGCTTGTTGAACAAGCAAGCAGCCATCACACACCAATAAAACTGCCATTTCAAGCTGGTTTTTTTGCCTAATCCTCAAAAGTTCCTCATCCTCATTAAAATTTTATGAATCCTCTATATATTACTTCTGTAAAAACTATGTATTTTTTTCACTTTAAAATATTTCAGGGTTTTTTTTGTTACTATAACTGCTTTTGTCATTTTCTTTAGAAAATGTTTGCAGAAAGTTCAGTGAATGTAAACAATATTGAAATGGCATCATGATGTTTTCTTAGTTATTAAAAAAAATTTCCTGAACAAAATATAAATATGACTATTTTGTCACTGTTAAAAATCCAAACAGCTTTTTATCATGACACCTGTTAATGTTAGGCGGTCAATGTACTTATCATCCCACCTGAAGATTGAATTTCATGTTTAGATCTTATGAGATTTGGAAGTAATAAAAAGCTGCATATCTAATCATTGAATCATCCCAATCCCAGTCGGGTGCAAATGTCACTAATCTCGACTAGAATAAATGGAGAATTGTCAAACTTTAGGGGTGAATCATATTTGGACATCATTTTGTATTACCCATAATCCTTCCCAATTGTGTGAGGACCAGACTTTTCTGATAATCGTGTCCCTGTTATATTAAGACCAGAGCCTGGTATTGTAGACCAGAGCTTGGTATTGTACACCAGAACGTATATACAGTAGGTAAGGCTTCAGACTACCTCAGATCACATTTCCCCTCGACTATGGCTAGGCACACATATCTGATTTATTAGTTTCCAGAGTTTTTACCAACAAATTAACCTCAAGTTCAATAAAAGTAGCATCCGTGTTGATCAATATATTTATTTTATTTTGGCATAGTTGATCTTGGTGATGGTTTGGAGAGATAAAAGTGAATGTTAAATAAATGTAGTTGTTTGACATGTTCAAATGGATCAAATCAAGTCAGGGAAAAAAAGTAAATTTAGAACTGTTCTTATTTTAATTTTGTCTGTAGTGTGTTTGCTCAGACTGCAGATCTCAACTGAAACGTTTTGATGAATTGTCGCCCAACCCTGTACTTCTGCCGACAGTGTCGTTCCAGGGGCCATACATTGTCGACCACAACAATAATCTATTATGTCAGTGATAACCCAAATTGTGGTTTGTACTCTTTGTTATTAAATTGCCAGTCATATTTTTGTCTGTCCACATGACTTTTATTTCACGTTTTCCATATCATTGTAGCCTTATTGTGGTGACTTAACAGTGACAGCGACTCGGTCTGTCTGTACTGGCAGGGGATTGTTCGTGAAGTCAACCTAACTCTTTAATGCACGAGTCACATAATCATAACAGATTGTTGGAGCTGGAACAATGTGTTGTCGTGAGAATTGTTCTGAATTTGTGTATTAATATGTTAATGGGCCCAGATTAGGTGGTATTTTTTGTCCATTCTTCTCATTATGATTTCTGGATTTTCATCAGATGATTATTACAAATGTTCCGCCTAAGCTTAGAAGAAAAAGAGATCTTTGATGTTGGCTATCATTTTGCATTATTCATCAGTGTTAAGAGAAGATTATAGTGTCTGACAATGAGGTTGATAGAGTGAATTGTGATAGATTTGTCAGTTTGTAAACAAAGTTTTAATTTAATCTGTATAATGATAACAAGTTGAAACAATGCCTTGGTTGTTCAGTCTCTTGTATCATGTTCATGATGTGTTTTCATATGTACCAACAGTGATCAAATACAGAATAACATATACAAAAAATATAATGTCATCTTTTCTCACATATGACATTTACCGATTCCATAATATCATGGTTCATGGTTTATGAGCTGGATGTAAACTTTTAGTAGTTGTTGCTTTTATGAAGTTGTCTTAAGAGATGACAAGAGAACTTTGTTATCACCGTAATCAGTTGGTCCTGCCACAGTGACAATGGAACTCCCTGCATTTGAACTCCTGAAAATCTCACCTACAAAATGATATTTGTGTGGAACAGAATATACACAAGATACAATGCTTCATTTATCTGGAAATCTGGTTTCAGGATGTCAGTGAATTTTGATTACTAACAGAACCAAATGCCGCACGCACTATTGTGTCCCAGCAGCGACCATGCTTGACGATTGTAGTTTTGCAATTGATCACCCAGTATTCAGCATGAAAGGAGTGGGTATCATGTTATCTCAGTGTTAATCTAATGCTATCTCAAATACTGGTATATTGGAATATATTGAAATATATCATTCCTGATGTAATGATGCTAGCAGATACAATTTGTTCCGACCATTTCATCAAAATTACATGAAGTTATATTATTGGGCTATTAATTTTTTACTGTATTTATGGTAGATTGTTGAAAAATGTTTGCTCTTTTCTGGCGTAGTTTCCAAGAAAAGAAAAAAACCCATTGCTACTTGTAGAACAATGCCAGGTAAAGCAGAAAATATATGGTAAATCATCATATCTAGTGTTGCTTTATCACAAACTTTGTTGACCAAGTTTGTTGTTACTTGTTATCACCTGAACGAGTGGAAGGGGTATAATGCAGGTTTCTACTGCTCATAGTAACACTGTAAATAGTCCTATGCTTTATATAAACAATGTGGCTGTAGGAGGTAGGGGAGAATGGATTCAGATGTCTTGTATTTAATAAACAATTGTGTCTGGGTGGAGACCATATACCAGTATATGGTCTCTGGTCAGGATAAAGGAGGTTGGATTGTATGTCTAGTTTTATAGCATGTGGCTGCTGGGTATTTTTGGTGACAACTTAAAAGTAGTTAGATTTGTTACTGTTATTGGTAATAAATGACAATAAAATGTAACTGTTCTTGATAATGATAAAGACAAGTGAGAGCTTCAGTTAGATTGACTCCAATTTCCTAGTGCATCATAGTTATAATTTATCTGCTTTGTTTCAAAACAACCCTAAATGACAGGAAAAATAAATAAATGTTCCATAAGAAAATAAGTGCACAAGGTACTCTGGTCCTGAAGAAACTGTCTAAAGTCTCCCTGTTCTTTCTCCCAAGATGTCTGCTGTAGTCTGTCCATTGAGAGACAGGACACGGAAGTGTACAGAGTTGTGGGGATCAACTTGTTTTCAAGCCCACCACTCAAGTCTTTGTCTTACCTCCGAGTTTTGACTCTTGGAATTTCGAAGCACCATTGTAGCCAGTCAAAAAGTGTCATCGACATTGGGGCCTTTGTCACACTAATTGTTGACCCTTCTCGCTGGTCACTTCAGGCTTTGCATGTCTGCCAACAGAGGGAGCATTGATGTCCACGCTTACTCTATTTTTAATCTTCGAGTAGTTGTTGTTATGGGTGCGAGCATCTGTCTGGATGGGTATTGTTGATGCTATTGTCACCTTTCCGTTGTCAATAGATCTCTTGACCTCTAGGCTTTTAAAACTGTGGTTTTGTCCGTGTACGAGGGAATTAATTAAACGTGGCCCGTAGCTGTTTTCCAAAAGGGGCCCACCATAATGGACCTCATGTCTGGATTCGTAGAAATGCTCACCCAGGCATGCTAGTACTGTCTCCAGTCCAAGGTTGGAAATCAGTTCGTTCACTGCACCGGAAAATTTTGTCAATCACTTTTCTGGCCAGGTCACCTCTTAATTATTTTTGACTTGACTGATGGCATGTGGTTCGCCGGCTACTGCATTCTCATAATTTATCTTGGGAATATGTGCAAAGTGAGGTGTGAGCCTGTCTTCGAATACTGCTGCACTTTGGTGTAGTTTATTTGAAAACTTCCTTCTCGGATCAAATTGTAATCTTCTCCTGCCCATCCATGCATATAAATGGAATATTTTCAATGGCGGATATGCCTTTGGGGTAGGCAAATTTATATTGAAAAGTTATCTTTGGAGGTGAAATACAGTTATGTTGAGAATAAATTGTATGGTACCATCACTCGTGTGGTGAGGGAATTGTGTTGAAAAATACAATACAAAAAGTGTTTAATAAACTGTCTGTGGACATTTAGTTTGAGGTGCTGATCAGCTGATAGTCATCCAGTTCACGTAACAAGGATTAGATTGTACAAATGTATTACCGTTTGATGTGCAAAGAGATTTGTCTCCCCGTGAAATCAGTGGAGACCCTGATATTAAAACTCTTCAGCCATCCATCTTAGTGTAACTCCTGAACATCAACACATGTTGACTCAACTCATAAGCAACAAAGTATGTTGATGTGTCAGTAGTTGCTAACAATTTTCAATCTTTTGAAGATGTATGTGTTTCATCCTTTTCAGGAATTGGCAGGGGAGATAATCCTGACTTTGGGAGAAGCCTTCGAGATTGCATACCAGATGGCACTGAAAGAGAAAGCTGAGGAAGATGCAATGGAGTTTGAGAAGAAGCTTAGTCCCAGTGACCAAGAAGACACAACTAGCGCCTCATCAAAAGCATCGCTCAATACAGTATAGCACATACATAATGTGTGTTATCTCTTTTGTAAGTAAATCATCAGCATCTGTCAATACAGTATAGCACATACACAATGTGTGTTATCTCCTTTGTAAGTAAATCATCTGTCAATACAGTATAGCACATACATAATGTGTGTTATCTCCTTTGTAAGTAAATCATCAGCATCTGTCAATACAGTATAGCACATATATAATGTGTGTTATCTCCTTTGTAAGTAAATCATCTGTCAATACAGTATAGCACATACATAATGTGTGTTATCTCCTTTGTAATTAAATCATCTGTCAATACAGTATAGCTCATACATAATGTGTGTTATCTCCTTTGTAAGTAAATCATCTGTCAATACAGTATAGCACATACATAATTTGTGTTATCTCCTTTGTAAGTAAATCATCTGCCAATACAGTATAGCACATACATAATGTGTGTTATCTCCTTTGTAAGTGAATCATCTGTCAATACAGTATAGCACATACATAATGTGTCTTATCTCCTTTGTAAGTAAATCATCAGTCAATACAGTATAGCACATACATAATGTGTGTTATCTCCTTTGTAAGTAAATCATCTGTCAATACAGTATAGCACATACATAATGTGTTTTATCTCCTTTGTAAGTAAATCATCTGTCAATACAGTATAGCACATACATAATGTGTGTTATCTCCTTTGTAAGTAAATCATCTGTCAATACAGTATAGCACATACATAATGTGTGTTATCTCCTTTGTAAGTAAATCATCAGCGTCTGTCAATACAGTGTAGCACATACATAATGTGTGTTATCTCCTTTGTAAGTAAATCATCTGTCAATACAGTATAGCACATACATAATGTGTGTTATCTCCTTTGTAAGTAAATCATCTGTCAATACGGTATAGCACATACATAATGTGTGTTATCTCCTTTGTAAGTAAATCATCTGTCAATACGGTATAGCACATGCATAATGTGTGTTATCTCCTTTGTCAGTAAATCATCTGTCAATACAGTAACTTAGTGTGATGAACAAGGTAGATAGCTCTGTGGATATACACCGTCTATGTTACAATATGTGGGACGTTTCCATGTAGATGTTAACACTGTTACCCATCAAGTTCTTCAATGATCTCCCTTGTTCTCAATACAGCACAGGGGTTCAAAAATCCCATCGCCTGACGCCCGGAACAAGTCAGTTTTCATTTCGGGCAATCAAATAATGGTATCTTACTTGTCCGACTAGATAATTTCCACTTATGGTTTCAAACCGCAAATAAACTTGGATTTAATTTCACATCTGCTCAAAATGTAGCTATTTCATTTCGCAATGATAATAAAGTAGAGTTATCTTTCTTTGCTATTTATCACTTTTCAGTAAATAGTCCAATAAACATTAACATCAAATACCATGTTGATTTCTTCTTTCATAATTACATCATCATAATTATGTCATAAAATCAGGGCAAGTGGAAAATTAGTCAGGACAAGTTACTTTCATAAAGTCACTTGCCCTGTGGCAAGTGGCTTTTTAAAAAAAATTTGAACCCCTGCAGCAGTGAACATTTACATAACGTGTATGGTCTCCTTCGTAAGTTAACTAACAACATTACCAATACAGTGTTATAAATGTTGATATTGTCCTACAGAGTGTACTCTGGGCCCTGTGTGTATACAGGGTATTTTTCTTGTCAGTATGAATATTGTGGTCGTATCCACCTGGAGGCTAAATCCCGTATTTGCCTGGCTCCTCTTGTGTGACTTTATACAATACCAATGGTCATGGTGTACAACACAATCATGTCCTTAACTGATCTGATTGTGAATGACTCATTGAACAAGATCAACATGTCTTTCATTGAAATCACCGGACATATTGCACTTTGTGATCCAATGAAGAAGACGATTTTCTCAAATCAAAATGAACAATAAATGTGAGTCTGCTGACATGATTAATTTCTTCAGTCCAGCTACAAATGATTCGGGGTGTCAAGAGGATCATTTGAAAGAGCAAACATAAATTGACGAGTCTGCGAGCCAGCGTTTCTTTCCACGATTAAGCTATATTATGAATTGTGAAACAACAATACAATTTACATCCCCTTCCCGCCGTTTGCCCGGTCGCTTTTGACTCGATATTAAATGAGAATAGAAGTCACGGGTCCACACTTTGAAAGATGGTCGTCTCGCGAGGTGGGCAGTAGGGGTAGCCATATTTGAAACAAGCAGGGCTCGAAGCCAGTAATTGTTCGACTCGGTCGCCAGTGTCGTTTGTTAATCTTGGGATGCGGGATATGTGGGTGCTGTAAAAATGAAGCGTACAAATTAAGGTTCCTCATCCTTCAATGCAGTTCGATGGTGAATTCTTTTTTCGTTTGACAGATTGAGAAAAAAACCTAATGAAGCAGATGGTGGGATACTGGGGCAGAGAATAGGACGCCCCTAAGTTGGTTGTGGTATATTCACAGATATTGTTCATGATTGTTTTGTCCGTGCTCCCTTTTGCTATGGCGAAGTCCCCGAAGTAATAAATATGGTCTCGTTTGGGGGTAAAAATCTGAGGTTGATGTCAAAAATATTGCGGCCAACTCTGTTTGTGGCTTGTAATCCACACAAGGAGAAGGCAGCTCTCTCCTTCAATACAGCATTAATCAAAGACCATTAAGCCGTAGGAGAGATGCATTAGGACTGGCTTTTCAATCGCCGACAATTTCTTGTAAAAGGAAGCACTGGGAACATGTGGCAGTGATCACCAGTCTATTGTTGGCGATGATACATTGCGTCTCGTTGAGACGAGGATTTGTCGCGGATGTGCTCTGGGGGGAGACTAGTGTAGGTGTAAGTCAACCAGCCCGGCTTTATTGACTAGGCCGAAGAAGGAGAGGTGGGTAATTGTCCATTAAATATCTCCGAGATGAAATAAACTGAACATGCGGGTACTAGTATAAGCGTGGCTTGTTCCATAACCGACACCATCAGATTGGAAAACGCAATTCAATCGAGTGGAGAAAATTCTGAAAAAAGGGTCGAAGGCTGTACATTTCAAAGAGACGATGCATTTAATTTGCATACATTGGAATCCCAATCGACAGGATTAATCTCAAAGATAATAAATTAAAAGTTAATTGAGGAAACATACGCAAGAGCCCAAATGTCTTTTTGCTTGAGAGATGGATGCCTTTCTTTTCTAAGATAGGAGGCCACTTGAAATATTCTGTGCCATGACTTGATCATGTCCTTTTTTGTTGCTCAAAGACGACAATAAATGCAGTTTTTTTTCTTGTTTTGTCCATATTGTTTGAACAAGGTTTGCTGTTTGATAAAGACTTCAAACCTTTGCCTTGCTTCGATCAATCTCAAGTTGTGAACAAATTTTCATCCAAAATATTTTGATAGTGAAACATCTAAATCATTTGAACATGATTTTCTGAAAGGTTACATGGCTCTCCAGGTGATAGCTGAGTTCACACAGTTCAAGACTGTCAGTATTTAAAAATATGAAGTGTCTCAGAGTTTGCAAAGCAGCACACTGACAAGTCAGTTGTTTCATTAGAAAACACTCACACTGTCACTGACATTAATGTATTGTTTCTATTCTGAGGTGACCCTCTTTTAATCAAGTGTAAGTGGTATGGGTTTAGTATATGGCATGTGTTGGTTGGTTCAACTGTGTCATTAATGTTGGAGGAAACCCTAGGGTGACAATCCTGGAACATATAAGGGATGTAACTCTAAAAAGAAATTTGTGGAAGGTTAGAATTGTATGAAATTCAGTGAAACTGCTGTGCATTTAATTGTGATATTGTATTGAGGTGCCATGTCAGATTTGTTGAGTGGAAATGTATCGATAATAATGAGACTTATTTGTTTTTCCAGATAGCTGGTTCCTCATCAGGCTACTCCAGATCTTCCTTGGCATCAGGAGCTCCATACACCAATCCGCTAACATAGATCCTGGCAAGTGTATCAGCCGAAGTCAGAAGCAGCTAGCTCAATGAGAAGTTATTACTAATGTCTACAGTTTTATGAATATTTAGCACCATTTAAAAGTAGTTACTGGTATTAATAACCACCAAAGCATCATCAATGTTCCACAGTGATCATCATAAGGCAAGCACCTGCTGGAGTTGCATACAACTGACTACTTTATTCAACTATCATGTTCTCATTCCGTGAAGCAGTGAAAGATCTCTTGGAGTAGGGGTTCCAGTAATCTGAGTGGCACTGACATTATTATGTGAATGCCCCCTTGATGTTAATGGATGACTGCTCCATGATCTGGGACATTCACCGGTCTAGTTCTTCAGGAAAATGATAAAGTCATCATTGGTTGAATGATAATTTAACAATGAATTTAGAAAACACTTAATTTTGATTGGTTAATCAGAGGTTTCAAATTACAGTAACCACCTCTGTGGTATGTTTGGTTCCCAGTTCATTTCAGCATGGTGTAATCTACAGGTAAGACAGGGCTACAGTGAAAACACAGAATGTATATTTGCTGAATGTTCAGATATTTGAAAGAATTATTTGACTACAATGTCTTTTACAATTCAGCTTTGAGGCAGATTGGGTGATATACACAAGTGTATAGAAAAACAAGTATCTAAAGATGCAGCTGTACAATTTAAGCATGACCATGCATAAAATTGTTGATTTGTTTATTAATTTCTTTGTTTATGTTGGCCTGTATGCAATTTTTGGCAGAGGGAAGGTTGCAAAGATTGTGAGATATATGAAAATCTTTTCTAGATTTGTTTTGTTTATGTTGATACATTTTGTAAATGTATTGCAATTTTACAATTGCAGGTAGTGATTTAGAGATTCCCAGCATTGCCCTCATTAGATAATTTACTTTTTTACTTTCATTTTTTGAAGTATTAATACATTATGCATACCAGTCATCACATTAATCAGAAAATATATTTAACATCATATTTCCGTGTATGCCACAACTGACCAAACTGCTTGTGTAGTAGAATCAACTTGACATCAGTTCTTGTGACCAATCATATTTACCAGTTCGTAAATTTGAACATATCCGCACACAGGGGTCATCTCAGGATTTTCAACCTATTTTATTGTGTTCATTAACAGACCAAGAATGGTTGCTTTGTACAGCATGAAATTAAAATTGACAAATGGATAGAGTGTTGTGTAGAAACACACCAGGAATGAGCAGAGAGTTATCACAAGATTCATTACCCCGACATACTGTAAAGCATGCCACTTCATGGAATATTTTCAATGTGCTACAATTTTAAGAGTGCTTTCTTTCTGTTTCATTCTTTTTTTCCATATCAATCTGTCATTACATATCTTCTTAATATTTTTGTAAATTTTGAGATGACCCCCAAGATAACCAAATATAGTGTTTTAGCAGCTTCACCATTCCACTTGTGTTTTGATTCCTGTTGTTTATATGCAACTTGTAGTTGTATTTTTATGTTATTTATTCAAGTATGTTCACATCCCACTAGAGTTTTGTATACATTGTTTTGCTTATGGCAGTAGGAAATGATTGTTTTCATGTTAGTGTCGCACTTGATCTCTAGTTGTAAACGGAATTTACACACAAATTTTCTTGTAAATTCAATTTACATACAGCATAATTTGGAATCTGTATGCATATTTTGGCAGAGATATAATGCATAGTAATAATTTTGTTTTTGCAACAAGTTACTCATTGCATTTCAATCTTACACATGTGCTTGATGTCAGGCAAGAGGTGTATTAATAAATCAACATTTCAACATTTGTAGAAATCTAGCATGCACTTCCAGGTCTTCCTTGAGACAAGTATCAAATCAGTAAATACTGTGTTTCTTTACTTCTCACAGATATTCTATTCTTTAAAAATAGTTTGGAAGGTTGGACAAAAATCCATATATATTTTTTCTGAGGTTACATGTTGTCAAACAGTTAACCATAAGTATTTGCATCATATCTAAATTTAACCAGTTTATTTTCTGTATTTCTTGATTGAAAAAGAATATATCCTTGTCAAAGAGTTGTCATATCAATCAGCTTGAATTTCTCTCCTCATGTATTTTGTCAGAAAGCATGTTACCAAGGTGGAACATCTAAAGCAAGGACAACATTGATAACTTCCTATATGAAAGGCACCAATGTTCCTTGCAGTTTTCAAGTGTGCATGCAACGTTGTTGCCTTCAATTTGATAATCTGATATAATTTGATATATTAGGTTTACAAGACATGTCTTAAAATAACCTGTTTGATATTAAACTTTACATTACAGTAAACCCTGTGTAGGTAGATTGCTGCTCTACTGATAAAACTAGAGAATTCTTCGTAGTAAGAGTTACGTAGGGGAGAGAACACTGCTGGTGGTTCAGTCGTACCATGGGTGGTACATCTCCAGATTAGTTCTACATGCTCCAGCAGTGAGTGGGTGAGTGAGTGAATGATTGTTCCTCACATACAGTTGTTATAGATTGTCTGTTGCTCTCTGTAGTGTATAATTTACTTAAAGCCGTGAGCTTTCAATAAAGTAATAATTTGGACTTATTCAATGAGATTGTGTATTTTCCCATTGAATTAGTAAATATGTATGTGGTTTTGAAAAACCCTGCTGACCATATATCTTTTACTGCTACTTGTATAAAGTGTTCAGTTTACATTTTGTGATAAATTTGTAATGAAATTGAAAAGGCATAGTTTTATGCAAACTATTTGATGAATTTGGTCATCTAGATTTCTCCTTTATTGATACACAGATATTGCTGCTTGGGTTTGCTTATCCTAACTGTAAAATGGCTATGAATGTCACTCTATTGAATTTTTGGGAGCTTAAGACTCATTTCTGGAGAAAATACTGCAATTAAATGTTGACAGAACATGTGCAAGTGGTACACTGACATGTTGATGTTGAGTACTTCAGTGATGATTCATCTGTAGATGCCATGTAAGGCTTGTGAGTGCTGTACAGTCTGTCATGAGTTTATTATGTACAGCCTGATGAAGATACTGCTTCTTATTGTAAATTGTATATATCTTGGAATGTTTGTAAATACTTTAACAAACGCATTTCTTTCAACGAATGACATGTAATATCATCAAATTGTCAGAACTTTATTAACAACTGTCATGAATTATTGCTCTGTGTGTCTGTTCATATTTCTGTACATCTTCAAAAATGTCATGTTTCAGTCATGCAGCCATATGCAACTGTTGGCAAAGATGTTTATGTTTCTGCATCACTACTCCAGCCCTGGCAGAGGCACCAGTACTATACTGTCATCTACCATTGTCACCACAATATACATCCGGGTTACCTACAGATCTGAGAAAGGGGTGCTCAAATTCAAAAAATCAAAATCGTACTGAACTTTGTTCAGATGTATAAGAAACTGAAAGATTTTTGATAACAGTAGGCAGTTTTATAGTTTTGTATTCTGTGTAGACAAATCTGTAATGCCAAGAAGGAAATATTAACTATATTGTAAAGGACACTTTCAAGGACAAATACAGATTGGTCAAGTAGTTGATCACAGTTATTAGAGTGGTGCATTTAATACAATGAATACGGTGTGGATGATTATCTGAAACACAGATGCTCCACACATTCCAGCATGACAGCCAGTCTGCTGATTGGTCCACAGGTTTACATAGTTGTGGATGACAAGGAATCACGGGAAGGTTTTACCCCAAATATAATAATGCACATGATGGATGAAAAGAAAAATACACCTGACATATTTTTTTCTTGTTTGATAAAAATATTCTTCATCATACCTTCTCAGACCCCTAATTATCCCCACTTGAATTTTAAATGGTCAGTCCTGGTGAAAAACTTTCTTTTACAAGCTATTATCATTATCTGCATTATGGCTTCATGTACTGAGATGTTTCAGTTTGGAGATGGTATATGTGCTGAACTACGCAACCTGTACTTAGTTGTATGTACTGACATCTTGTGTTGCTGACCCACACCTGTTCTCCTGTATATTATAGCAAGTGTACAGCCATTTGTGTTGCTTGTGTTTCAAAGGAAACTCAGTTTTGTTGTGTGACATGAGAAAGATTTTGTTTATTTATGCAATGACCAGTTATTCTCGACCAATTACAGTGGGTAAATGAAAGCTATTCTCGACCAACTACAGTGGGTAAATGAAAGCTATTCTCGACCAACTACAGTGGGTAAATGAAAGCTATTCTCGACCAACTACAGTGGGTAAATGAAAGCTATTCTCGACCAACTACAGTCGGTAAATGAAAGCTATTCGCGACCAAACTGCAGTGTTATGAACAACATATATTACTCAACATCTGCTAAGGAGCTAACAGTCTTCTGTCAAAGATGTTGCCTTAACAAATGTTGAGTATCATGTGACAAATTTAGCCCAAAGCTGACCTGAAAATATCATCTTCCAATTTGTACAAGAGTAAGATGGTTCAGTGTGATGAGCTTCTTCTTCTGTGCCATGTTTCGTGGTTGGGTCAGATCTGTGGCTAATCGACCTCTGCTCTCTGCTAAGACCTGTTTTTGTCTTTTTCTCCCTTTACCTGACAGGCTGGCCATTCATTACCTGATATGACTAAAAATCTGTACTTATGGCCTGAAAGGAGCTACCATTTGAATTGGGTGAGAACTAAGTGTCCAAAGAATATAAATTCATTTTCTAAATGTGCAGATTGGTTTTTTTTAGGGTTTTATTTAGAAACGCTAACCTTGAACTATAATCTCTAATTTCAAAACCAACCCCATTCTGAAAATGTAAATGTTTTTCTCCCTGACCGTAAAGAGTACCAAGATTAAAGCAGTTCTGTTATCCCTGTTGTATCTGAATGAACAAGCATCATTATGTAGACTGGAGCAATACTCAGCCAAAAATGAAGCAATCAATATTTTTTTTCTAAAACTTGCCTGTTTTCTCTCCTCCAAATGTGAAAGAGCAGAAACAGAAGTCATATATTTTAAAGTACACAATGCGTTGATCTCAAGACATTGGGAAAGATCTACCTCATTTAGACCAGTGAAACAGTCATAAAGTGTTGGAACAAAAAATAATATATGTCCGCAAAACATATATGGTATTTGTCGTTTGATTGTTTTGGCGGGAAAATGCATTTCAGTCGTAGTGCGTGAAATTTGCCAAGGGAGATAACTCTGATTTTTTGTGTGACGTGAGCTTGTTTGTTTACGTTGGTATGCTTGTCAGCTGAGTGTGCATGCATGTGTGACTGTCCCCTGTACAGAAAAGACTTAAGATTCTGTGTACATACTTTCGTCATGTCTTACGTCTCTCCACTGACTTGTTTGTATAGTTTGCAAAACAAATAAAACCATA